CTCTCTAAGAATTGTTTTACAGTTGAATTTACAGTTGAGACAATATGAACATTTAACTATACTGAAAAAAATATAAACGCAACATGTAAAGTGTTGGTCCCATGTTGCATGAGCTGAAATAAAAGATCCCAGAAATGTTCCATACACACAAAAAGCTTATTTCTTTAAAATGTTGTGTACACATTTGTTTACATCCCTGTTAGTGAGCATTTCTCCTTTGCCAAGATGATCAATCCACCTGACTGGTGTGGCATAACAAGAAGCTGATTAAACAGCATGATCATTACACAGGTGCACCTTGTGCTGGGGACAATAAAAGGCCACTCTAAAATGTGCAGTTTTGTCACACAACATAATGCCACAGATTTCTCATGTTTTGAGGGAGCGTGCAATTGGCATGCTGACTGCAGGAATGTCCACCAGAGCTGTTAACAGAGAATGTAATGTTAATTTCTCTACCATAAGCTGCCTCCAACGTCATTTTAGAGAATTTGGCAGTATGTCCAACCAGCCGCAGACCAGGTGTAACCACGCTGGCCCAGGACCTCCACATCCGGCTTCTTCACTTGCGGGATCGTCTGAGACCAGCTACCTGGACAGCTGATGAAACTGTGGGTTTGCTGATGTCAACATTGTGAACAGAGTGCTCCATTGTGGCAGTGGGGTTATGGTATGGGCAGGCATAAGCTACAGACAACAAACACAATTCCATGTTTCGGCCCCATGTCGCAAGGATCTATACATAATCCCTGGAAGATTAAAATGTCCCAGTTCTTCCATGGCCTGCATACTCACCAGACATTGAGCATGTTTTTGGGAAGCTCTGGATCGACATGTACGACAGCGTGTTCCAGTTCCCACCAATATCCAGCAACTTCGCACAGCAATTAAAGAGTGGGACAACATTCCACAGGCCACAATCAACAGTCTGATCAACTCTATGCGAAGGAGATGTGTCGCGCTACATGAGGCAAATGGTGGTCACACCAGATACTGACTGGTTTTCTGATCCACGCACTTACTTAAAAAAAAAAAAGAAGGGATCTTTGACCAACAGATGCATATCATGTGAAACCCATAAGCCCATGTGGTTATATTTGTGTCCAGTGTAAATAAATGCAATCTTATAAACATTGTTTTATTAAAACATTGTTTTATTTCTCCTGTAAAGATAGAGTGCTTGTTGAAATCGTTGGTTATACCGTATTATATTTATTTTACTAAGTAAATTACACTATAGAGCATTTATTCAAAGCACCTCTAGGCTGGGAGAGTGCACCGCAGTACATTGCACTATCACTCATCAGATGGAATCTTTATGGTTGAGTTCTGTTTAGTAAAGGCGTGTTCACTACCATTACTATCTAAGTTAGATTGTTGCACAGCTTTAATATCAACTCCACTATGCTAGGATATAGATTCCAAAATTGCTTCCACTATTTCCCTTGACCTTTGTCAACCTCTCAGTTTTAGTAATCCAATGTCCAGTACAAAGTATTTTAAATTCAGGGATTTATATTGGGAAGTGAATTGCCCTCTGTCTATATCCAGTGTGACAACAGTCTGTGGGATTGGTCAACTTCTCATTGTTGGATGGAGTGGAGTGGGCCTTTCATTGCCTGGCGTAGATTTACTACTAGAACTACTCCCATTTCCAATAGCAACAGCAAATCACTCTTTCACACTACTACTTTGTATTCTTGTGAGAGTGTGTGTGAGAGAGAGTTGGAGGCTCGGAGTCACACTCACAGTGGGTATTTTCGTTTGAGGAGACTCTGTTTTTAGGGTCAGCAAATTACAACTAATTAACTGTGTGTTGTTAAATTGGATGTAAAGAGTTCACTGACCAGAGAGACAGAGAGAACACTACAACGGCTTCACCAGTTGACTTGAATTGCCTAGGAACCAATGGGACCACTGAATCTCCACCAGGCTATATTAAAGGCTGACTTCATCCTAGCTAGAAGGCTAATCGAGGCTGGGGCTAACGTCAACAGCAGGGATGAGGAGAGGAGGACCCCTTTAATGCTCTGCTGCCTCCATGATGGGGAGTCTTGGTCCCTCGGTGTAGCGCGCATGCTCCTGGTCCACAGGGGCCATGTGGGGCTCTGTGACCGCCAAGGTCGAACCGCTCTGGTGTATGCGGTCTTGTATGAGCGTCTGGGTTTGGTTAGGCTGTTCCTCCAAGCGCTGGACTATGACCTGCACCACATCGACAAGCACGGTCACATGGTTCTGTGGTACGCAGCTCAGGTGGGTAACAGTCCTATCAATGACCTGCTGCTGAAAACCATGAAGAAGTACGGTCTGAGCACTGATATATCTGAGGCCGCAGTCCCCAGGCTTTGTGGTCATGATAAACCCGGTCAAGTTCTGGTCAAAGACCAGAGAGCAGTCAAGCAGAATGCCTTTAATTGTGCCATTGACCACATGGTCACAGGTCACCCAAAGCCACAGCCAGAGAAAGGTCTACCTCCATTGTTCCGAAAGGACTTGCCTTACAAGCCCCTTCCAGCAAACCTCTGGACAAAGAGGGAGAACTTCTATAAAACAGTGACGCCACCAGAGGCAAAACCTGAGACAAAGAAGGCCTTGACTGGAGGGTCTAAGCAGGGGAAGGAAGGGAAGACAACCACCCCCTCCCCATCTAAGGACTGGAAGCTCGACATGAGGAGTCTAACCGAGGCCTTACTGGGTCAGATCAGCCTTTCCTACCGGCCCCGGGCCCAGTCCCGGCTTCCTTCCTCTCTCCGCCCCTGCAGGAGGACACCTCGCCTGGGGGCCAGCCCCACTGTGGAGGCCCTGCGCCGCCAGCGCCGGGAGAGGGGAAGGAAGATGTCCCTGGACGCCATCAGCGACAGCCTACTGAAGGAGAGGACGGCCATAGGCTCGTTCCGCCGCCGCTGCAGTGTCGCCGTGATACCCATGATCAGGATGGGGGTGGGGTTGGCCAGCAGGAGCTCCAGCACCACAGAGCTAGAGGGTAGGGGGGAGAGAAGGGTCACTCCTAAACCACTAGTCAGGATCCAGGAGCCGAAAAAGTTAAGCTAGTCAGACAGAAATGTATGCTTTGCTTATCTGAAGGTTTATTGATGATGATGGAAAATGGGATGGTAGTTTTTGTGTGATGGATTAGAGTGCGATATTCAATATATTCAAGTTTGCTGTGTCTGTATTAAAAGGTTAATACCAATCAACGAGTGACAGATGCAATGAGGGTTAGATGCAGATGAGTCACCTGACATTTCTGTAATCTCCCTAAAAGTTAGTTTTTGTATTCAACTTGACTTGGAATGTTTGAATGTTAAGTCTTTTGTATGAAAATAAAATACAGTCTTATGAATAAAATTACACAAATTCAGTATGGACTTGGGCTGTGACTTCCATTGAATTTAGTCTTTGTGAACATGCAGCATGTGGAACGTTTGAAAATAATACGGTGGACTGGTTGAGAGAAAAAGATGGTGGAAGCGGATGATGAAGTGGAATCTGAATCTAATGGTGGTAGAATCAAGGAGAATTGGAGTATTGTCCAAAAGAATGGAAAACGGTGCAAAGTAGAGTACAGTGATGAGAATGTCACTTCGTATCTAGTAGGAGTATGGTTTGTTAATGAGGAGCAGCTGAGCAGAGTACCAATCTTGAGGAATCCATTTGAGATATCCAAACTGGTGGAGAGAGTGCTGGGTAGAGTGAAGGCTGTGAGGATGAAGAGAGGCGGGCTGGTTTTGATTTTTAGTGCTTCTGAGAATCAGAAGAAACGTGTGTTGCGTCTCACCCGATTTCATAAGTTTGAAGTGTGTTGTGTGTCTCTTAGGAACAGTGCACCCCTAAAGGGGAATATATCTGGAGTCTGGTGGGAAGTAGATGTTGAAGAGATGAAAAATATTCCTGATGAATTGTGTGGTGAATGAAGAAAAAGTGAAGAGTCTATCTGTTCTTTAGATTTTTTATATGGAGTCTCTCCCTACTCAAGTGCAGTTAGGGTATATTAATTACAGAGTCAGAGCATTTATCCCAAGACCAATGCAGTGTGATCATTGGAAAGCTTTTTGTCATGTTTCAAGTGTTTGCAGAAGGGAAATGCTGAGATATCCAAGTTGGGTGGGGGAAAATATCATATTATGTGTTATAAAAGTGATGAAAATCGTGACAATATTCCGGGTTTGGCCGGTGTAGGCCGTCATTGTAAATAAGAATTTGTTCTTAACTGACTTGTCTAGTTAAATAAAGGTAAAATAAAATAAAATAAAAAAATTTGACATGTTGCAATTGTGGTGGGAACCATGAAGCCATGTCTTTTGAATGCCCCACAAGGATGAAAGAGAATGAGGTGGCCAAAGTCAGGGCTATCCAGAGCATATCATATGCAGCAGCTGTTAAAAAGGTTGAGGGTTTGAATGATGCACTTGAAGAGTCCATGGTGGTGCATAGGCCTTCACTGCAGGCTGCAGGGGTTGCCTTTCACCAGCAGGATCCTGACATTTTAAAGGTTAAGAAGGTGGACTTTGTGGCCTTTATAGCTATGGTGATAAATGGCACTGCCAAGGTGGAGAGAAGGTCCAGGAAGATAGAAATCATTGTGGGGCTGAAAGATTTCTCGGCGAAGGAGTTACATGGAATATTGTCACAAGCCGTACCACCCTCTCAGGCCTTAGAGCCTGAGAAGGGAGATATGGAGAATTGAAAGAAGGAAGAAGTGGGAGTTTTGATTTGTTTTGTCAATGTACTATTTTCATTTGGATGGATTAAGTTAGTTTCCCTATTACGCATGGATTTTATTTTTTACCTTGTTTTGGTTTCAACCCGTCCAGTTGGTGGCGGCAATACAACTTTTTGGGTTGTAGTCCGCCATAAAACCCACAGAAGAAGAATATGGTGCACAAAACAAATACAACAACAGGTGGCAGTAATGGGTAAAAGGCGACCCATAGATTTACGTGAAGGCGTTGGAGAGTTGACGTTTACGGTTTATAACCAATAGCAGCGAACCTACTCACGTTTGAATGAAGAACAGGCGGTTGACGTTTACTCCTGCTGCTGGTTTGTTTACTTCATTCAAATACATTTTCTTTAGCAAATATTTAGGTAAGTAGCTGTTCATATTAACCACATGAAATAGCTCAATGACTTATGTACAGCGCTTTGTAGCCGAATAATTTAAATAGGGTCACGTTTCATAACGTTAACCATCTAACGAGGGGGTAACGTTAACTCTAGCTAACGTTAGACACTAGTTAGCTAACGTTACACAAATGTCCCCGTGAAGTTCAAATTCTGCATGACCTCTGTCCTTTAACACAATTAATAATATGCTCAATGGTAGGCTTATTAGCTAATTTCAGTCAACGTTATATCTTCCATAGTTAACGTTACCTAGCTACCTACATCAGGAGTGTATTCATTCCGCCGATTCTGTTGCAAAACGTTTCTTAAACGGAACGAAACGGGAGGGACTTACATGAATTTGTCCAATAGACGTTTTGCAACGGAATCCGACAAATGAGTACACCCCAGCAATTTTGTCTAAACGCTTCCTAGCCAGGCAAGTTGGTAACAGGTCTGATATGACTCCAACAATTATACCAGGTTGTTTGTATTCTGACAGTAGTAGCCCAGCCACACAAGCCTTCATCATGTCCACGAGAAGATCGCATACATTTGCCGAGACCATGGTAAGATTTGCATTTCATACATGTATTATGAAGGTACCAAACAGAATGTTCGACCATAATTGTGTCGCTAACATTAGCTAGCTAGCTAGTTAGCTAAATTGTTTATCAATAACTGGATGATGGCTTCTCTCAATGTACCCAGCCTTCAACAAGATCTGGAGAACGCACCCCATTGAGGTGTGTCCAGAATGAAATTGCGCATCTCTCAACCCCATCTTCTAGACTCAAATCGAGATCAAGGTCGGGCAACAATATCCTCAAAACACCCAAGGTATGATGAACAGCCAAGCTATGGGCCTATGGCTCCCATTCACTGAACTATTGTTAGAAATTGTAACTTTACCTTATACTTCTCCCTACAGAATGATGGTGTGTTCATCTACCCAGATCGGTTAACATATGGCCCTCAACCAGCTGAGGTCCAATGCACCCCTAGTGTTCCAAAGCCCAGTGATAAAACTACTACCAGTGATACAGCTCCTACCACTGAGGACACAGCTGTTGATACAAGATTTGGAGACATTACCTTCAAGTCCTTCATCTGTGCTGGGGGTGAGGTTGAGGTTTCAGACCCCTCAAGGGTTGTAGACGAAACCATCATCCTACCCAAAAATCAATTGAACATCTCTTCTCTTCCTGGCTATGAAAATGAAAACACATGTCTCTCTGACAGTATGGTTACTCAATGCTGCGACAACCATGTGGATCACGTCTATTGTGATTTGGAAAACGATTTGGCCACAACTGAAGCTGATCTATCCTTTAATGGGGGTTCAAACACCAGTCTTAGTGTTCCACAGTTCACAGATATAGCCCCACGTCACTGGCGGACAGGGAGATGTAACATTTAAATCTTTCATCTGCACCGGAGGGGAGGTGGAAGTTTCAGAGGCTTCCAGGGTGGCACATGATACTATAGTCCTACCAAAGGATCAGCCTGCAAACCACCATCAGCCATACAATGACAGTATATATCCAACTGTTATAGTAGATGACTTGGACATGCAGTCCATCGATGACCGCGCAGATCACCTCTATTGTAATATGGCCGCCTCTAGTGTAGACCTTTCCTTCAAAGAACCCACACATTGTAGTCTTCAAAGTAGTACTTTGAAATCCATAGAGCTGGTTCATAACAATGACGAGTCAACTGGTGTTCAAAATGCCATTGGCGGACAAGCAGATGTGACATTCAAATCCTTCATCTGCGCTGGGCTTGAGGTTGAAGTCTCAGAGTCCACCAGAGTGTCCGAAGACACTATCCTCCTACCTGAGAATCAGACTGTGACCAGTCATCTACTGTACAACCACAGTGTCAACCCAAGCATCATAGAGGAGCAGTCCTCCGATCATGCAGAACACCCTTATTGCCATGTGGAAACTGAAGGTGCCGTGTCAAAAGCGGACACCCCTGCCATCAGTGAGCCCTCAATGGGAAATGCATCCTTAAGATCATTGAAGGACCTGGATGATGTCGCCTGTCAGCTTTTCCCTGAAGGCCCCAAACAGGGTTCTTCTCTCCATGCTGAAGACAGCGTCCTGGCTCCATCTATACAGTTGGAATCTGATAGCTCCCATTGCAATGAGTTTGGAGCCTCGGCCAGGAGCTCCACACCTGTAGATGAAGACAACCCATCGATAGTCTCTCGCTCCCATTCTCATGGTTCATTGCACGAGTCCAGTGGGGCCAGAGACAGCGCGCTGGGTTCAAGCAGTAACGCTCCTCTTCCCTCCAACACTACAGACGACGCGAGCTCTGAGAACATTGCTGACGTGTTGACTGAGCTACCCGAGATCCCCTCTGTAGCGAGGTGGGCCGGCGGTGGTGATGCTTTACAGTTTGAGCTCTTCAGCCCCGTTCTTAGCGCAACCCCCATGACCAGAAGAGGGGGCGTTCAGAAATTGTCTTTTGCCCAAATGGAGGATTCCGCTCTGGAAACCGGCAGGGGCTGTGTCCCCATCAACTCTGCGGAGGGTAGCTTCGTAGTCCCGGCCAACCCAGACAGCCGACTCTGGGCGGCCGTCCTGGAGAGCCCCATGCCTCTGCCAAAGTTCAACTCCACGGCAGTGGGTGCCGCATCGACCCGCAAGCCCCCTCCTTCTCCAGACCCAGTCACAGAGACTGTGGAGATGAGGCCAGAGGTGGATGTGCCTCGTGTAAAATCCCAACCCAAAGTGGAGATGGGTCTTTTTGATCATTTACCAGGGTTGGTTCGTGAGGAGCCCTTGCAGCAGCAACTCATCCAGATGGCTCAGCTCCTCATCCTGGCATCGGGCAAGATGGCCGCTGTTAGCAACCCTGCCCTGGCCCTTACACCCGCTCCCGCCCCTCCTGTAGTGGGCACTACAGCGGGCACCGTGGCTGTAGAGTGCCACAGCATGTGTGTTGGCACCACTCCAGTGAGGCGGGCAGACCGCAGTGCCAACACCTCTGGTCAGTTTGAGAGGAAGAGGGAGTTCTCGGTGTCCGACGCCTGCACCAGCACCGACTCTCTGCTCTGGAAGTGAGTGTGTTTTTGTGAGTGAGAACTGTGTAGAATGTTCTGTATTTATGTCATATGAACCATGTAAACATAGTTTTTTGGTGTTTGTTTGTCTGAGAGAAGTGTGCACAAGCAGCGTTTGTGTGTATATGAGAACTGTGTTATTGACTATTTTCTCCCTGTATCTCTCTTTCTCTCTCTCTCTTTCTGTCTGTGTCTCTGTCTGTGTGTGTGTGTCAGTCTGGCCCCTGGGAGCCTGTGCAGGGTTCCCAGACAGGAGCTGGAGCAGAGGCTGACCACCACTCTTATCATGGTGGAGGCCCTGGTGCAGCAGCTGTGCACAGCCAGGGGACAGGGCCACTCTAGGGGACCCGGGCCCTCAGAACTCAGGGACAAGCTGGTCCAGACAGACCACACTGAGCTCAGCCAGACGGTAACCTACAAAGACCTGTATGTGACGGCCCTGGAGAGGATCAAGGAGCTAGAACTGGACCAGACCACTCTACAGAACCTGGTCCACAGCATGCAGGACACCAGGAGCACCATGACAGCCCTGAGTGGAGACACTGAGGCTGCTCTCAGCAGCATGAGGCAGATAAGAGATCTGGTTAAAGAGGACCAGCAGAGCCTGGCTACACAGTATGGTCAGATGAAGTCCCTGTATGAGAAGTGCAAGGAGTCCCAGGGCAGGATGGTGCAGAAGGTGCGAGACACCCTGCAGCAGAGAGAGGACATGAGGAGACGGATGGAGGAGGCTTTCACCGCCAAGGGCCACGCCTTCAGTGTGACAGAGCAGCTGAGGGCTCACTGCGCCATGCGTATCTCTGAGCTGGAGGAGAGTGTGGGTTCTCACCAGGAGCTGATGGCTGCCCTGACCAAGACCTACCCAGAACAGGTACCACAATATTTTTATATATGTCCACTTAGGAAGCAACACTGATTGACAATACATTTCACATGCTGTTGTGCAAATGGAATAGACAACAGGGGGAAATTACATGCAATTAGCAAGACACCCCCAATAAAGGACTGGTTTTGCAGTTGGTGACCACAGACCACTTCTCAGTTCCTATGCTTCCTGTCTGATGTTTTGGTCACTTTTGAATGCTGGTGGTGCTTTCACTCTAGTGGTAGCATGAGACGGAGTCTACAACCCACACAAGTGGCTCAGGTAGTGCAGCTCATCCAGGATGGCACATCAATGCGAGCTGTGGCAAGAAGGTTTGCTGTGTCTGTCAGCGTAGTGTCCAGAGCATGGAGGCGCTACCAGGAGACGTGGAGGAGGCCGCAGGAGGGCAACAACCCAGCAGCAGGACTGCTACCTCCGCCTTTGTGCAAGGAGGAGCAGGAGGAGCACTGCCAGAGCCCTGCAAAATGACCTCCAGCAGGCCACAAATGTGCATGTGTCTGCTCAAACGGTCAGAAACAGACTCCATGAGGGTAGTATGAGGGCCCGACGTCCACAGGTGGGGGTTGTGCTTACAGCCCAATACCGTGCAGGACGTTTGGCATTTGCCAGAGAACACCAAGATTGGCAAATTCGCCACTGGGGCCCTGTGCTCTTCACAGATGAAAGCAGGTTCACACTGAGCACGTGACAGACGTGACAGAGTCTGGAGACGCCGTGGAGAACGTTCTGCTGCCTGCAACATCCTCCAGCATGACCGGTTTGGCGGTGGGTCAGTCATGGTGTGGGGTGGCATTTCTTTGGGGGGCCGCACAGCCCTCCATGTGCTCGCCAGAGGTAGCCTGACTGCCATTAGGTACCGAGATGAGATCCTCAGACCCCTTGTGAGACCATATGCTGGTGCGGTTGGCCCTGGGTTCCTCCTAATGCAAGACAATGCTAGACCTCATGTGGCTGGAGTGTGTCAGCAGTTCCTGCAAGAGGAAGGCATTGTTGCTATGGACTGGCCCGCCCGTTCCCCAGACCTGAATCCAATTGAGCACATCTTGGACATCATGTCTCGCTCCATCCACCAACGCCAAGTTGCACCACAGACTGTCCAGGAGTTGGCGGATGCTTTAGTCCAGGTCTGGGAGGAGATCCCTCAGGAGACCATCCGCCACCTCATCAGGAGCATGCCCAGGCGTTGTAGGGAGGTCATACAGGCACGTGGAGGCCACACACACTACTGAGCCTCATTTTGACTTGTTTTAAGGACATTACATCAAAGTTGGATCAGCCTGTAGTGTGGTTTTCCACTTTAATTTTGAGGGTGACTCCAAATCCAGACCTCCATGGGTTGATACATTTGATTTCCATTGATAATTTTTGTGTGATTTTGTTGTCAGCACATTCAACTATGTAAAGAAAAAAGTATTTAATAAGATTATTTCATTCATTCAGATCTAGGATGTGTTATTTTAGTGTTCCCTTAATTTTTTTGAGCAGTGTATACAGTCTGAGATCAGGGCTAGAGGCAATTTACCTGGTTCCCGGCTTATGCTTATTTGTTTGCCCGTGTGTGTCCTCACTCAGGTTACATTGAACAAGGCCTACGTGGAATCCCTCAACTCTGCATCGGAGCTCTTGAGAGGAACCATGAGCGAGCACGCCAGTCTGCATCAAGAGGTACGTGTTAACCTGTAGGCTACATTGCCTTGTCAGGAGGGAAGCAAAGGGATCAAAAAGGTTGCAATGTATGTGTTGTGTTTTATTCTGTACGACGTGTGTGTAAGATGTCATATTCTCCCCAGCTGAAAACCGCCAGGCGTCTCCTCCAGAGGACAACTCCTATACTGGTGAAGCTGAATGAGAAGGCAGCCAACGCAATAGGAGAGAGAGACCAGCACCTCTCAGAGAGAGACCAGGCTGTGGAGGAGAGAGAGCAGGTCTGACCTCCCTTTCTCTCTTATCTTCCTCATCTCCCACACCTCCCAATGTCTCTACTACCTGTTATATTCACTCTATTCTCTGTTCTTATCTTCTGTAACTCATCAACTCGTCTCTCCACAATGTTATGGCTTCATTCTAATGTGTCGTGGCTCACTTCTAAATGACAGATCCAAGAGGAACTGGACCAAACCAACCTGAGTCTCCAAGATGCCAGACAAGAGATTGGGGACTTGAATCTGCAGGCCACTATCATGAATTCAGGTAGGAATTGAAACAAACCATTGAAGATAGCGTTCGAGTTTCAAGTGTTCTTGTGATAAGTTTAAAAAATAAGTGATAATATATTCATTTTCTAGCATTGTCACTCTCTCTTTTTTGCTGTCGCTCTCCCTCCCTCCCTCTCTCAGAGTTGGGTGTTCTGCGTCAGAAGCTGAGTGAGGGAGAGGAGGAGCGGGCTCAGCTGGAGAGGAAGGTCACGGAGCTGTCTGCCACAGTCTCCTCTACCCTGGCCTCCTATGCCTTCCTAGAGCAGGCCCTGGCCGCAGAGTCCACCAAGTCGGTTCAAAGTTCACTCTAAGCTGTTATGGTGCTTCAACTATGGCAGTTGTCAATTTAAAATATAGATTTTTTTAAATAGAGAAAAATAACCTTAACTGTGTTATTTCAGGTTGCAGCAGTCATGGCAGGAAATCCAGCAAGCTACCGACAGGGCCAACCAGTAAGTGAACTCCCCAGCTACCTCATTTCTGTTATTAACACTACTATTTAAATCAGTATTTTACAGTTGAAATGGGCTATTCTGATTTAAAAAAATGTTTAGCCCCATCACATTGCAGCTATAAAGATGATTTAACTAAGACACATACCTTTAGCTATTTGTAATCAATAATACACATTGGTTTAATTATTAAGGCATGTTTAGCCATTGAGTTTAATTAAGCAATAAGGCATGAGAACCCGGGGATAACTCCTGTGTAAGGGATGTTCTTAGGACCGAATCAAGGCAGAGGGAACAGATGGAATTCTGAGTGTTTACAGTTTCCATGGTGAATAATTCGTTTCAAGATCAATCCTTCTGGCAGGAGAAATCACATTTGTAAAATGATACATTGTTGCAAGGTCGTAGAGGCAGACATTTGGGTTTATACAACCCCCAACTGTTGCAAACCAAATAGTAGCATGGAAAAAGTAATGGGCTGCAGGACAGTGGAATTATGACATTAACACGTCATTCTATTTTGCGGGAGTTGTCCCACATATCAACCAATCAGCATCCAGGGTCCAAACAACCTGTTTTATAACATGAATTGAACCCCTCCTGTGTCCAGGTTGGAGGGTGCGTTGGTCCAGTCAGAGCAGCGTGTATGTGAGCTGTCCCAGGCTCTGGCCCACAGCGAGGAGCAGCTGATCCAGCTGCAGAGCCACTCCCACAGCCAGAGCCTGCAGCTGCAGAAGCTCCATGAAGTCCGCAAGCAGCTCAACAGCGTGATGGAGACGAACGAGGTAGGGGGACCACTGGATCGCTCTCTGCAGTGCTGGATGTGGTGGGGCTTTTTCTCTTGCTTTTTTCTGTCTGTCTTTCTCTGCTCCTTACCAGTCTCTCTCTCTCTCTCTCTCTCCTTCTTTTACTCTGTATATCTCTCTCTTTCTCTCCTCTCACTCTCTCTTCCTGTGTGCTGATTCTAAACTCAGCCGTGATGTGCGCTGTGTGTAACAGCTCTGTACCTCCTCATCTCCTGTGTAGTTCCTACAGATGGAGAATGATATGGCCAGGGAGCAGGTGGTGGAGAGCGAGGGGACCCTCCGGGCTAACCTACAGGGGCTCAGGGAGAGGAACATCCAGTGTGAGGACCTCAAAGGAGCCCTCAGCCAACTCCAGTAAGACCCATCACTAGTACCACTCACTGTGGAGTCATATTACATTTAGTTATTAGAAATAATAGTTTTAAAATTAATTCTTTATGAGTTGAGCTGTGATGTGTTCTGGTGGTGTGTGTGGGAGGGGGGTTGTCTCGTTTGACTACATGGGACATGGTTATTACAAACAATTGAACAATTGTCTTGAGCTGATCTGGTGTGTGTGTGTGTGTGTGTGTGTGTGTGTGTCAGGGCTGAGAGGGAGGCGTTGCAGGCAGAGTTGGAGGACAGTAAGGCCAGAGCCCAGTTGGTCCAGTTGGACCTGGCAGAGCAGCTAGCCCAGGCTGTTACTGATGTCACCCTGGTACACCACACACTGAGACAGCTGACCAACGATGTTCACACTGCTCTGACCACCAAGGTAATCACACACACCCTGGTACACCACACACTGAGACGACTGACCAATGATGTTCACACTGCTCTGACCACCAAGGTAATCACACACACCCTGTTACACCACACACTGAGACCGCTGACCAACGATGTTCACACTGCTCTGACCACCAAGGTAATCACACACACCCTGGTACACCACACACTGAGACAACTGACCAACGATGTTCACACTGCTCTGACCACCAAGGTAATCACACACACCCTGGTACACCACACACTGAGACGACTGACCAATGATGTTCACACTGCTCTGACCACCAAGGTAATCACACACACCCTGGTACACCACACACTGAGACGCTGACCAACGATGTTCACACTGCTCTGACCACCAAGGTAATCACACACACCCTGGTACACCACACACTGAGACAACTGACCAACGATGTTCACACTGCTCTGACCACCAAGGTAATCACACACACCCTGGTACACCACACACTGAGACGACTGACCAACGATGTTCACACTGCTCTGACCACCAAGGTAATCACACACACCCTGGTACACCACACACTGAGACAACTGACCAACGATGTTCACACTGCTCTGACCACCAAGGTAATCACACACACCCTGGTACACCACACACTGAGACAACTGACCAACGATGTTCACACTGCTCTGACCACCAAGGTAATCACACACACCCTGGTACACCACACACTGAGACAACTGACCAACGATGTTCACACTGCTCTGACCACCAAGGTAATCACACACACCCTGTTAAACCACACACTGAGACAGCTGACCAACGATGTTTACACATTGCACACACCCTGTACTAGTCCGTAGAAGACCCACTCTGTCCTGGTGTGTGGTGTTATTTCAGAAGCCAGAGGCCTGTGGTAAAGACGAGGTGTCCCAGCCCTCCCTCCACTTTGCGCGTCATCCCTCAACCTCCTTCGTGGACAGCATCATGGTAGCCATCACCACTGACCTGGCACAGGCCAACGACACACAGCCCCCCTTAGACATGACAGAGGAGCCACGAGCTGAAGGGTTGGGCAGCGAGATCAGTGCCTTCACCCGCCTCGCCCCAACACCTAAGAAGTGTCAAGGTGAGGCCTCCATCGCATCTCCATGCGTTCCCCCTTACTGTTAGCCCCAGGTTACTGTTAGCCCCAGGTTACTGTTAGCCCCAGGTTACTGTTAGCCCCAGGTTACTGTTAGCCCCAGGTTACTGTTAGCCCCAGGTTACTGTTAGCCCCAGGTTACTGTTAGCCCCAGGTTACTGTTAGCCCCAGGTTACTGTTAGCCCCAAGTTACTGTTAGCCCCAGGTTACAGTTTTCAGTGAAGTATATGGGTTTTGTTCAGTAGGGTACACTGTAGCAAAACTTTACAACAAAAAACTAAAATCTGTGTTCATATTGGACAAGATCATGTAGCACCTCCCCTGTTTCACTGTTTCAAAATGTTTAGTACCTACTGAACACAACCCAGTTGTTTGTCTGTATTGATGTGTCCAGGGCCCAGTCATTAAATGCCTTCACTTCCCTTCCCTTCCTGGTCTCTAGTGGTGCCTCCAGAGGAGGAGCAGAGTAGCGTGGTGGAGCTGCTGGCAGACCTGGCTAACACCGTCTCTGAGCTCAGCTCTGCCATCACACAGCTACGACAGAGCAAGGACACCGAGCAGGAGGCACTGAACAACACCATGTAAGCACTGTGACGTGTGTGTGTGTGTGTAAGGCATTTATTTTGTGTTGAGATGTGACGCTTACAATTTCTCCTTTAATTAAGCATTACATTATTTTATTGTGTGTTTTATTTACCTTTCTGGTCTCCCTAAGTCAGTGTTTCCCAAACGGCACATTTTTGTTATAGCCCCGGACAAACACACCTGAACTCGTTGAGGGCTTGATGATTAGTTGACAAGTTGAATCCGGTGTGCTGTTGGGGGTACTGGAGGACAAGTAGGGAAACACTGCCCTAAGTCAACTTCCATCACATTAGGAGGAAACCCAGGGTTTCCCAAACTCTGTCCTCGGGACCCCAAGGGGTTTGCATTTTGCCCTAGCACTACACAGCTGATTCAAATAATCAACTAATCATCAAGCTTTGATGGACAGCGTTTGGGAAACGCTGAGTAAACATAACCTATAATTGTGTTGCTATACAAGTTGTGGGCTGCAGGGGGAGCAGCAGGCTCAGGCCCACAGACACAGGGCTGAGGTGTCCGAGCTGAGGGGCCAGCTGAGCCGTCTCCAGACCCAGCTAGACCGGGACCAGGTGGCTCTGCAGAACAAGGCCCAGGTGAGACACTACACTGCTCTCAGATCAGACCTTACAACTAAAAAAACTCAAGTTTTAGTTACATTTAACTGTTCACCTGCCTTAAATCCTGTATTTGTGAGCATATTGGCAAAGTGCTGCCAATCAATGTTCTACTTGTGCATTATAGATTATTTGACTGCAAAATCTAGACATTTCTTATTACTTTCTTGGCTACAGGACATGATACATATCATGTCTGATTACTTGACTGACATGGTATTTTGGTGAATAGTGGTCCGTGTGAGTTCTGTGTATGACTGAGGCTGAACCCAGGTCATTTGTTCTGTTTTACCAGGAGATTGACACTATGAAGAGGATCTGCAGTGAAGTGAACGAGGCCAGGGAGTTTCTTTACATGCACAAAACTGAGAACAAAGTAAGGGACTGTATAGGTTTTTTACAAAAAAAGACTTGGTTGGCTACATTCACTTTATTACGTCTTCCTAAAAGTTCAGTTCTTAGGCAACGTTTTATCCTGGTAAATTGTCATCTATATGCCATGATGTGCTTCCATGTAGCCTATGTAACGTTGCTGCTGTGTTCTGTATTTGTGCTCTGTAGGAGCTGCGGAGGGAGGTGGCGGAACTGCACCGCTCTCTGCACCAATCACAGGTGGAGTCCCAGGCTCTGAGGGACGAGCTAAGAAACACCGGCAACCAATCGGCGCACAGCATGCATTCCATGGACGACAAGATCCGCCTACTGAAAGAGGTACAATCCAGACCATAGGTTGACTATTATCCCTTTAAGAACTGCTAGGGCTGTCCTATGGTGTCCATGTCCCTGCTGTCCCCAAACCTAGACACTGGCTGTTCTGCACAAATATATTTCCATCTGAATGCTCCACAGTGCCTTACATGACCCAGCCCTGGGTTGTTTTACATCGGCCACCATTACATCTCACACACATCCCCTCACACCGACCCTGCAGCCTTGAAAGACCAAGCAATCCTCTCCCTCCAACACTAGTTGTCTTTGACACGCAGTAGGACCTTAAACGCTGTCTCCTCCACAGGTGGAAAGACTAAAGAGGACTCTGTTGGAAGCAGAGGAAGGAAGAGTAAAGCTTCTGGAGAGAGCCAAGAGACATGTAAGTGTCTATACCATCTGTACACAAGTTACTACAATGCTTAAAGTTACAATCCTTAATTGAAACGATAACAAAGCGTCACCCCGCCTCTGATTTGGTAATAATTAGAGGGATGGGACTAGAGAAATGTAAGCACTCTCAAATTCATAGGCAGAGCTATGGATGGAAGGAGTGACCATCTATGATATCGAAATTATAGTTTTAACCATGTTTTGAGGCTATAAAGTGTTTGTTTACATTGTTTACAAACCGTTGGAGTAAAACAAGCTTCTATTTTGGGTTCTGATGGGGTATGACAGTTGAACTAAACTCGAGGAATTTATAAGTTATATTCTTCAAGAATCAATGGGTGTGTATAATTAATTTATAAGTCCAAAAATGGATGTTGCAGCTAAGGATTCCAGCTTTAAGGAAAGTGCTGAATATGTAGTGTACCAGTCACAACCGCCATATGTATCCTTTTACACTGCTACTCTGTTTATTACCTATGCATACTCACTTTAACTCTACCCACGTGTACATATTACCTCGACTAACCGGTGCCCCGCACATTGACTTTGTACCGCTACCCCCTGTATATAGCCTCCCTAGTGTTATGTTATTTTACTGCTGCTCTTTAATTATTTGCTATTTTAATTTTTTACTTGATCTATTTTTTACTTAACACTTTTTTGTATTACTTTTTTTTACATTTAAACTGCATAATTGGTTAAGGGCTTGTAAGTAAGCATTTCACTGTAAGGTTTACACCTGTTGTATTCGGCGCATGTGGCAAATGACATTTGATTTGAAGTGGTATCCAATGCACAAGTCACCATCTTCAATATTCTTCTGTGTCTCTGCAGCAACTGATCCACGACACCAACCAGAAGAAAGTGGAGAAGGAACTTCGAGTCCTTGACGATATGATTGAGACAGTCAGAAAGGTGAGAGGCCAGGGATATACATTTTTCTGTTTGAAATTTTAAAGGTAGATTCAGCGATATGACGTAGATGCAGAAAGTAAACAGCACAGTGGGTACATTTCCGCAATAACGAAGAGCGTTGAAGCACGAGGCTCCACTTCTCCGCTGTTTTGGTCCCGTGGCTACCAAGTTGTAAAAGCATGATGCGACTCCGTGCACATGCGCAGCTACTGTGTGAGAGCGAAGTCTTGCATCTCGCTCATCTCAATATCTGCAGTGCTGCTCGTGGCAACGTCATTCCACTGAGTCTACCTTTAATAGAAATTGTAATATTCATATCTGTGTTACTTGGTGTATATTGATAGTTTGGCATTAGACTTGAGACACTTTTTCCTTCTTTCTCTACAGACTTTGTCTTCTGTTCCTGACGTTGTCAAGAACTGCAAGGAACTCAAGACTCTAGTGGACTATCTTGGTTAATATCATATTATTCACTGTACAGTTTTTAATCAGTTCTGTTTTTTAAATGTTTTCTTAAACCTATTTGTATAAATAAAATAATCTGGTAACACTGACTACTTTTGATGGATTTGATTTATGTTAACTGTATTGTAAACGTTTACAGCATTACAATGTACAGCCAAACTCTTCTGCAGTTCCAAACAGTACCAAATTAAGTTACAGTGGGAGAAAAAAGTATTTAGTCAGCCACCAATTGTGCAAGTTCTCCCACTTAAAAAGATGAGAGAGGCCTGTAATTTTCATCATAGGTACACGTCAACTATGACAGACAAATTGAGAGAAGAAATTCCAGAAAATCACATTGTAGGATTTTTTATGAATTTATTTGCAAATTATGGTGGAAAATAAGTATTTGGTCACCTACAAACAAGCAAGATTTCTGGCTCTCACAGACCTGTAACTTATTCTTTAAGAGGCTCCTCTGTCCTCCACTCGTTACCTGTATTAATGGCACCTGTTTGAACTTGTTATCAGTATAAAAGACACCTGTCCACAACCTCAAACAGTCACACTCCAAACTCCACTATGGCCAAGATCAAAGAGCTGTCAAAGGACACCAGAAACAAAATTGTAGACCTGCACCAGGCTGGGAAGACTGAATCTGCAATAGGTAAGCAGCTTGGTTTGAAGAAATAAACTGTGGGAGCAATTATTAGGAAATGGAAGACATACAAGACCACTGATAATCTCCCTCGATCTGGGGCTCCACGCAAGATCTCACCCCGTGGGGTCAAAATGATCACAAGAACGGTGAGCAAAAATCCCAGAACCACACGGGGGGACCTAGTGAATGACCTGCAGAGAGCTGGGACCAAAGTAACAAAGCCTACCATCAGTAACACACTACGCCGCCAGGGACTCAAATCCTGCAGTGCCAGACGTGTCCCCCTGCTTAAGCCAGAACATGTCCAGGCCCGTCTGAAGTTTGCTAGAGTGCATTTGGATGATCCAGAAGAGGATTGGGAGAATGTCATATGGTCAGATGAAACCAAAATAGAACTTTTTGGTAAAAACTCAACTCGTCGTGTTTGGAGGACAAAGAATGCTGAGTTGCATCCAAAGAACACCATACCTACTGTGACGCATGGGGGTGGAAACATCATGCTTTGGGGCTGTTTTTCTGCAAAGGGACCAGGACGACTGATCCGTGTAAAGGAAAGAATGAATGGGGCCATGTATCGTGAGATTTTGAGTGAAAACCTCCTTCCTTCAGCAAGGGCATTGAAGATGAAACGTGGCTGGGTCTTTCAGCATGACAATGATCCCAAACACACCGCCCGGGCAACGAAGGAGTGGCTTCGTAAGAAGCATTTCAAGGTCCTGGAGTGGCCTAGCCAGTCTCCAGATCTCAACCCCATAGGAAATCTTTGGAGGGAGTTGAAAGTCTGTGTTGCCCAGCGACAGCCCCAAAACATCACTGCTCTAGAGGAGATCTGCATGGAGGAATGGGCCAAAATACCAGCAACAGTGTGTGAAAACCTTGTGAAGACTTACAGAAAACGTTTGACCTGTGTCATTGCCAACAAAGGGTATATAACAAAGTATTGAGAAACTTTTGTTATTGACCAAATACTTATTTTCCACCATAATTTGCAAATAAATTCATTAAAAATCCTACAATGTGATTTTCTGGATTTTTTTTCCTCATTTTGTCTGTCATAGTTGACGTGTACCTATGATGAAAATTACAGGCCTCTCTCATCTTTTTAAGTGGGAGAACTTGCACAATTGGTGGCTGACTAAATACTTTTTTTCCCCACTGTATCTTAATATTACAGAACGTTCTGGTTTGATAGACTTTGAACACTCAATGAAATGATTCCAACCTCTCTCCACTAGGTGAGTTAAAAGAAATCAAAACTCAAACAGAATGGGATTGGTTTGAAATGTATTTGGGTTTCCACAAAAGTACAGTCACACATATTTATTATGTACAGTTTACCAGCACAAGGATGGCTTTACATCAATATGTTACACTCACTTTTATATATTACTGGATTATTAGTGGTAGAAGACTTATTTGTGTTCGATGATGTAAAGTGGAATTCAGTTTGGGTGTAAAAAAACAAACATTTCCAAAGGAATCATTTTCAATTATTTATCATTTGTCTGTCAGCCCACTGACAACTACAGAGGCCTCCTTGTTAAGTGTTGACAGAGCATACAGTTATAGCCTAATTGGTGGTTGGCAAAATCTTTGATATATTACAACGGTTTCGTAAGTCTTTCGACAAGTCAAATCATATTTGACAAGTAGGTCATTTTCTTGATGTTGCACTGTGGTCCCATCTTTGAAATGGATGTTCTTTCTTGAGAGGCCAAAAAATGCTGTAATTTATCACAAGGTAGCTTGGCACCTGAAAGAATGTGATTTTAGATGAAATGTAATCTAAATCATTTTCTGTCTGCCGTGCTCCTCTCCATTTCTGCTTGGCTGCTTTTCAATACTTCTCTAATTTTCTCTTTATATACACCGTCTCTCCAAACCATGTGCTGTCCGACACTGTTCTCAATTAGCTGGAACAAATACCTGCGGCGTGAGTTGGCGGCTGCTCCAAGGAACGTATCCCACAGTCTATCCAGGTGGATTTGTGATGATGACTTCATATTTGATTACCAGTAGGAGATTAGGATTTGTATTGTCTGCATATCATGACATTTTGTCTTGTAAAAAGGACTTGATATTTGATCACTTTCATTAAACTTTTATCTGCAGAATTATTTGGTATAACTTCACCCATTTAGATTCATTTAATGCATGATGAATATAGCCAGTGTTTATCAACATCTACATGTATGTACAGAGCCTTCAGAAAGTATTCACACTCCTTGACTTTTTCCAAATGTTGTTGTTAGTCTGAATTTAAAATTGATTAAATTGAGATGTTTCACTGGCCTACACACAATACCGCATAATGGCAAAGTGGAATTATGTTTTTAGACATATTTACAAATTAATTAAAAATGACAAGCTGAAATGTCTTGAGTCAATAAGTATTCAAGACCTTTGTTATGGCAAGCTTAAATAAGTTCAGGAGTAAATATTTGCTTAAGTCAAATAAGTTGCATGTGTGCAGTGTTTAACATGATTTTTTTAAATGACTACCTCATCTCTGTACCCCATACATAGAATTATCTGTAAGGTCCCTCAGTCGAGCAGTGAGTTTCAAACATGGATTCAACCACAATCACCAGGGATGTTTTCATATGTTATTTGCAAAGAAGGGCACATATTGGTAGATGGGTAAAAATGCAGACATTAACTATCGCTTTGAGCATGGTGAAGTTATTAATTACACTTTGGATGTTGTATCAGTACGCCCAGTCACTACAAAGATACAGGTGTCCTTCCTAACTCAGTTGCAGGAGAGGAAGGAGACCGCTCAGGGATTTCACCATGAGGCCAATGGTGACTTTAAAACAGTTACAGAGTTTAATGGCTGTGACATGAGAAAACTGAGGCTGGATCAACCACATTGTAGGTACTCCACAATACAAACCTAAATGACAGAGTGAAAAGAAGGAAGCCTGTAAAGAATAAAAATATTCCAAAACATGCATCCTGTTTGCAATAAGTTAAATAAATTAAAACCCCTAAAAATGTGGCAAAGAACTGTACTTTATGTCCTGAATTCAAAGCGTTATGTTTGTGGCAAATCCAACAACACATCACTGAGTACCACTCTTCATATTTTCAAGCATGGTGGTTGCTGCATTATGTTATGGGTATGCTTGTCATCTGCAAGGACTAGGGCGTTTTGTTAGGATAAAAAGAAACGGAAAAGAGCTAAGCACAAGCAAAATCCTAGAAGAATACCTGGTTCAGTCTGCTTTCCAACAGACACTGGGAGACAAATTCTCCTTTCAGCAGGACAATAACCTAAAATACAAGGCCAAATATACACTGGAGTTGCTTACCAAGACAGCATTGAATGTTCCTGAGTGGCCTAGTTACAGTTTTGACATATCGGCTTGGAAATCTATGGCAAGACTTGAAAATGGCTGTCTAGCAATGATCAACAACCAACTTGACAGCGCTTGAAGAATTTTAAAAGAATAATGTGCAAATATTGTACAATCCAGGTGTGCAAATCTCTTAGAGACTTACCCAGAAAGACTCACAGCTGTAATCGCTGCCAAAGGTGATTCTAACATGTGTTGACTCAGGGGTGTGACTACTTATGTAATTGAGATATTGTTTGGTTTTTCATTTTCAATAAGTTTGCAAAAATGTCTAAAAACATTATAATTATGGGGTATTTTGAATTCAGGCTGTAACACAACCAACTGTGGAATAAGTTAAGGGGTATGAATACTTTCTGAAGGCACGGTACTTTAAAAAAAAGGTGTCCCCGTGTTATTCAGGTAAACATAGCTGATCTGAAACGACGGCATAAAACAGCCTTTTCCTTCGAAGTAGTTTTATCCTGAGTGTCCTAAAGTAGGGCGGCAGGTAGCTTAGTGGTTAAGAGTGTTGTGCCAGTAACCGAAAGGTTGCTGGTTCTAATCCCCGAGCCGACTAGGTGAAAAATCTGTCGATGTGCCCTTGAGCAAGGCACTTAACCCTAATTGCTCCTGTAAGTCACTCTGGATAAGAGCGTCTGCTAAATGACAAAAATGTAAATGTAAAGTATATTTAGACAATTTTTTTTTTATTTAACTAGGCAAGTCAATTAAGAACAAATTCTTATTTACAATGATGGCCTACACCAGCCAAACCCAGACGATGCTGGGCCAATTGTGTGCCGCCCTATGGGACTCCCAATCACGGCCGGTTGTGATACAGCCTGGAATCGAACCAGGGGGTCTGTAGTGACGCCTCAAGCACTGAGATGCAGTGCCTTAGACCACTGCGCCACTCGGGAGCCCAATACAATACTGTCTGAGCCACATATTTTTCCTGATACCACTGAACACGTAGTGTATTGAGTTAAAGTATCAGGTTCCAAGTGAAT